AAGGCCAATAATCTTAGGCGGCGATCTTCACGGTCTGTTGTTCTACGGCGGCGTCCAGTGCTCCTTACTCTTTGCGTACGGCCTTCTCGAAGCCATGCCTGACAACACCTAACCACAGTGTCTACACTTCTTTGCACTATAACTGCAATTGCCCGAAAAGAAAGTCCAGCTTCCCGAAGTCCCACTATACGGCCCCTATCAAACTCACTAAGTTGACGAAATCGTACAGGTCTCCGTACTCTAGGCATCGTAACCGATCGTAAAGGATGTCAAGAACCAAAATCCGCCAACGTGGATTCTTTACTGTGACTGAAATATTCATTTTTAGAGCGTTAAGGTGGCTACAGACACAACGGCAAGCTTATCCAGTTCAATCTTTTTGTACAAGCACGCTTGAATGTCGGTAGGGAAATGTGGTACAAGCTTCGTGATTGTACAAGAAGCTTGAGGATCGAATTGATTTTAATCATGCATGCTTGAATTAGGCACGCTTGCGGAGGCAAAACGGTGCTTGTGTACCCAATATTTTCAAGCTTTCACAAGTTGGCGTCCGTTGATGATCGTATCGTGCTTTTGAATCAAAGGTGATACAAGAGAGAAGAGGTTTAAATACGTCTCTTCATCCATTCTAAGATAATTGCTCCAGCAACGCGGATATATTTTCAGCTCTTTAGTAAGTTAATGTGTGTAAAAGGTTTTCCTTTTCATCAAACATTCTTTACACCGCATAGCTCTTTATTCTGGATTTTCATCTCTTCACAAGAACAAAGGCGGCCGAAAGCGAGGATATCGTCATCCCAACTCGACAAATTCTATTAAACTACCTCTATTTTTATCAAGCGTGCTTGTACGTGTGGTGCCAAAGGCAAGTTGTGCATGCTTGTAAAAAAAGATTGAATAAGCATGCTGGACAAGCTTGCAGTTGTGTTTGTGTGTACAGTAAGATAAATACATTCACCAACTTTTATTAAAATAAAACCATTTAAACTGGGTGTTCGGATTTATATGTCACTTAGTATATAAGGTGAAAATTATGAATATCCTTTTACTTATGTCACTGCTTTGAAAAAGCAAAAGCATTTAGTGCAATTATTATAAAATACCATCCGGAGGATTTCCTTCGAAATTTGCAAGTACAGCGATATCCTTTGTTTATGAATACGGCTCAATGAATCCGGTGTTGTCGACACTAACCGTCGACCTTTGAGGTCCGCCCACGTCTTGGCGAGGTAGAGGCAGGCCCGGTTGGGTCGGCCGCCCCTGGAAGCTGCCGCCCACGCTGCCCGCCGTAGCTGGGTCGCCCGCTCGGCCAGCTGGAAGCTGCTGGAGAACCGACAGACACGGCGCCGGAGATTCGATTCTCTTGGCGGCAGTGTTGCCACTGGGCAGAAATATACTAAGGGTAGGGACACATACAGTGGTTCGAGAACCAAGAAACCTGGCGAAACGTCAAAAAAATATATTCTCGTTTATAGAGATGCATAATTCATCATTTGATAACATGCGAAGTTTTGTCTGTTGCATCAAACGTATAAATGACGAGAAGCTCATACCAAAGAAAATGTAAAATCGACCTTTTAAAATGACTGTATTGTAGGACAAGGACACACAAAATGGGTACAGCAGTTTTTGTGGGAAATTTTTTTTATTCGATAACAAGACTGAGAAAACGTATTTTTTGGGATTCAATCGAAAGTGTTGGCAGCAACGAAAAAACCCTACATACGAGGGATGTCTTTTAAGTTTTGCATATGGAAATAAAACAACACGAAGATTAACACAGATCTGCATGCGATCGAACCAATTTTCGAAGCACTTATTCCCCTCTTTTGCTAGAAGATCCAAAACGGCATTTTGAATGCGTCAACTGCTTCTTCTGGTGACTGGAATCTTTGACCACGCCGTCTGTTTTTAGTTTTCGGGAAAGTAAAGAAATCGTTAGGACTCAGATTGGGACTATATGGAAGATGGTCCGATAATTCCACGTTTTCTTACGTTAAATACTGCCTTATTTTTTGGGCTGTGTGCGAGCTTGCATTATCTTGGTGGAGGATGATTCTTCTTTCGAGGTTGATTTATCGAAGCTCGGTGATGACTTTTGGCAAACAAATTGTGGTATACCAATCCGCAGTAACAGTTATTTGCTCATTAAGAGGAATTGTTGCAATATGACCCGCTTTTGACACAAATGTCGCGACCATCTTTTCCGAAACACTTTGAGAACGGATGACTTTTGTTGGCTTTTCTTCACCTTGGAGCACCTAAACATCCGTCGTTTATTTGCTGGTTCATAACAGTAAATCCACGATTCATCACCACTAACAATGCTGTACACATTTTTTGAATTTCCGGAATTGATACGGTCAAGCGTTTTTTGTCACCAATTAACCCTGGCTGCTTTCTACTCTTCAGTCAACAGCCAATGAGAAACTAATTTTCTTACTCCTAATTCTTCATGTAAATTTTTTTGAAGTGAGGTCTTTGAGATCTTCAAGGACGTCTCAATCTCGCGATATGTAACGTGTCTGTCTTCAATGATGAGTTTGCACACAGTATCGACGTTTTCCTGGGTGACTGTTGTTATTTGTGCACCCACCCTGGGATCGTCGCTAAGACTCAACCGTCCACGTTTGAATTCTCCATACCAACGGGAAATTGTCGACTGATGTGGCGCTTCGTTGCCGAAAACAGAGCAAGGCATTCTTGTTGCGATAATTGTCTCTGAAAGTTGTAGTAAATCATGGCGCGAAAATGTTCTCGGTTGAGTTCCATTTTTCTAATGACTTGGTGACACTTGAAAATTCACTGTAGTGAGAACACTGCACGTATTGTTGTGAAACTTTGAATTTAAGTTTACTAAAGAGTGAGGTTAAGATTCAGTACTGACGTTCGAAACCTTGAACCAATTGACCTTTATTATGTCCTTCGTTATAATCATGAAGACTTTTAAACCTAATAGTACCACAAGACTGTTTATAAAGTTTATCAGACTGATAATGGTACTAATGTGGCCTTGACATTGACCTTCAAGGTTATTTGAACCTAGAAACCTTGGAATCAGACCAGGCAAAAATTCTACGCACTGCCTTAAATATTAATTTTCATGGTTTTCCAGTTTTTTCAATCGATGTCTTGAGAATCAAATTATTTTTTAGATTAAAAAAGATGGTGGAACACTTAAAAGACATCCCTGGTAGATACGGCCAGCAATGAAGAATTTTTATTAATGACAGCCTAGTACCAAAATTAATGACAGTGCTAGATTTGAATTTAGTTTTACTACCCCACAAAATGTGCTAGACATGATTCTGTCCCTAAAATCTAATGCAGCAGGTGCGGATGGTATAACAGTCAAGCATTGCTTGCCTCGAGTACTACTACCATTGACGCATCTATTGAACTGTTGCCTGGAGGCTGGGTATTTCCCTGATGCTTGGAAACTATCTCTTGTCAAGCCGTTGCCTAAATGTAAAAATCCAAAATGTCTCTCAGACTTAAGACCTATAACTTTGATTCCTGTTATATCGAAGATATTGGAGAAATCGATTAAACATCAGGTTTATCATTATTTCTCTAATAATGATTTCTTTCCCAAGTGTCAATCTGGTTTCCGCAGTGGTTTTAGTACAACTACAGCTTTAGCAAGGGTTTTAGATGACATCATTGCTTCGCTTGATAAGGGAGATGCTTCAGCACTTGTATCATTAGATTATTCTAAGGCGTTCGATAAAATAGATCATGAGCTTTTATGTGCTAAATTGAAGTTTTTTGGTTTTTCAGACATACCTGTATTGTTTTTTATAACATATCTTTCAAATCGAACAAGTTGTAGAGATAGACAACACTATATCTAGTCCGATTGATATAACATCAGGTGCCCTCGGGGTTCAGTTTTAGGGCCCTTGTTGTACTTAATTTATACTATAGACTTGGGTAGCTCTGTGAAAAACTCTTCTGTGATGTGCTATGCCGATGATACACAGATATGTAAGAGCTTTAATAGTAACACTTTACATACTTCAATCAATGAGGTTAATGATGATTTGGAGGCAATTGTAGGATACTCAAATGGTAACAATCTTAAGCTCAATAAGGATAAGTGCTCAGTGATGCTTTTTTGTCCTGCTGTCAAACGTAACACTATATTGCATTCTCTTGATGTAAAAATCGACAAGGACTGTCTAGCTGTCGTAAATACTACAAACAATTTAGGGTTGATTATTGATTATACTTTACGGTTTAAGGAGCATGTTTCGTCTATCTTAAAAAAATGTTATGCAACTTTGAAGTGTTTTTATGTCAATCGCTCTATTTTGAATTTTAAAGTTAGAAAAAAGTTATGTGAGGCTATTATATTTCCAAGCTTATTTTACTGCGTTCTATCATTGTCTTGATTCTATCACAAAAGCAAGACTCCAAAAACTCCAAAATACTTGTTGTCGATTTGTATTTAATCTCAAGAAGTATGATCATGTTTCCTTAAAGAGATTTCAGCTTGGTTGGATGTGTATAGAAAATGCTTGCAAGTACCATAAAGCAGTGTTTACACATAAGATCATATCTTCTCGATCCCCCTTGTATCTTTATGAGAAATTTGTTTTCAGACGAAATAATTCAGACATTGATTTCAGACACAAAAAAAGACTAGAGATCCCTATGTACAAAACAACTTTATTTCGTAGTTCATACATTTACAATGCTATCCTGATTTATAACGAATTAGATGACAATATAAAGGATTGGCCAGTAAACAGATTTCGTAAGCATGTGAAACAGATTTATTTGTCATTGTAGTAATTGTGGAAAAGTTAGTTTTTAATTCTATTTTATTTTATTTTTACGTAACATATGTGTGTATATATTATGTATGTCAGGAAGCTATCAAGCTCATTGTTTTGAAGCGTCTTTTGCTGCTTGTCAAAGTTTCCTTGATTAAGTATTTCAATTTATTATTTGGGTAGGTTAAGTAGAGTAGCCGAGAGCTAGACTTCGCCTACGTAGAGGTCACATTATGTTATAGTTTATATAATGTGCCTAATAAAGACATTTTATTATTATTATTATTAATAAAATAAAAATGTTAAATCCTCTCTTACTGAAGGAAGCGTTATTGTTTATTCGCGTAACTCTAAAACTCAATTTAGATGCCTAGGGAGGAACACATCCTCCAGAGTCTTCAGGTGTGGCAACCATGTCCTATCTGTCTTTCCATTCATCTCCGCAGTGCGCTAAACTTAGCCCACGCTCGTTTCGCTGACGACGTCGTCCTCGTCGTCGGTCGTTTGGACCCGTGCCAAGTGCCTCCCCTCTCTTCCCCAACGACCACTTCCCACCCCCATAGCCGTTCCCTTTGCATCACACCACCCCCCCCACCCCCCTTGATCTCGCGCGTCACTACGGTGTGTTATTGGGGTAGGCGATCCGGTGGCACCGCCGAGCTAGTCTAGCCGTCAACTCACGTTCTACAGGTTGGCGTAGGGATAGAGGGTAGAGATTATCGGATAAACACTGGTTTTTGTTAATGCGCTTAACTTTTGACATTCAGGGGGTCAGGTTATATCTATCGCTCACTCTGAAGGGCCTCGGGCAATAAGGTAGCTAAGCCACAACCCAACTAACAATAATCACCTCTGTTAGGATTGCAAGTGAAGAATTTGCTGATAGATGTCGCTACAATTTCTAAATTACGTTTTTGCCGATATACTTTAATACATTTAAGTTACATGAAAAAAGATTGATAAACTCATTTGTTCTGACCGAAGTCGATGCTCAAGAAGTTTTAGCAGTATTATGTTCTGAAAAATAAGAAAAGCCCAGGATCTGATGAAATAAGAGCTGAACGTCTGAAGATGATGGCCACGCAAATATTAGAACCATTTGCTTATGTTATAAATGAATATTTTCGGTCTGGAATATTTCCCTCAGCTTCTATATCAGCTGTTATCATTCGATTGTACAAAACAGGCGATAAAATGGACCAATTCACTGGACAACAAATTTTAGTTTTTTAATTGTATCTTGTGGGAAAAGTGCACTTCTTTGTTAATTTTGGGGCGCCGAATCCAAAAATGACAAATTAAAAAAAGTAACAAGATTCATATACTTATAAGAAAAAAAACTTTTTATTTTTAAGGATATATTAAAAAAAGTAACAAGATTCATATACTTATAAGAATCACTATATGCGCTGGCTTTTTGCTGTTCTTTTATGGACCAAGAGTCCAACAGTAGTCTGCAAGCATGGAAGGATTCCACTTTCCCTGGTACCTTTTTCCATTGTTGAAATATCCTGATGAAAACGTTCGCCGTGCTCATCACTTACGGCTCCGCAATTGTCAGGAAAAAAGTCCAGGTGTAAGTGTAGGAAATGTATCTTAAGAGACATATTACAGCCCATCTTTTGATACGATGACAGCATATTTTTGACAAGGGTTTTATAGTTGTTAGCTTTTCTATTTCCCAAGAAATTAGTGACCACCAGACGGAAATCATTCCAAGCAGTTTTTTCAATACCTGTTAAAGTGTTTTCAAACTGTGTATCTTTCAAAATATTTCGAATCTGTGGCCCAACAAAAATATCTTGTGGCGAATCAAATTACCCATAACCTCAATGAGACCATTCCATCTGTTTGTGCATTTGTCGATCTGAAAAGGGCTTTCGATCCAGTTAATCACATTTTACTGCTAGATATTTTAGACAAATTAGGTTTTCGCGAGCAAATATATTCTTTAATGCAAAGTTTATGAAAAAGGCCCCAAGTAGTGAAATCATACAGTTAGGAAATGCTTGTCAAATGTGGTGCACCTCAGGGTACAGTGTTAGGCCCTCTTTTATTTAATATCTATTTGAATGATATATTCAAGATTACTGTGTAGGTAAAATAGTTGGTTACTATACAGGGTGGCCCTTCCATGTGTGGACGGAATATTACTCATAAACAGTTACATTTTGGGTAAATCTATTTATGGCATGTTATACATGACATTTGAGGGCAAATTTCTAAAATATTGGCAATTATACAAGGTGTCCCGATTTTGACCTACATATCAAAGTTGTGATGTTTTAAATGGAATGCCTATTTGGATAAACCAATTCAAAAGAAGAAGATTGATATAACATACTATGGGATTGTTGGTAATTAGCTACTGAGATGTAAGGTGTTTTGGAGAGCTGAATTTTGTATCAAAGAAAACTTACACATCTCAGCTTTGATCTTATTTGTTACTTTCTCGAATTATCATGTTTGCTCGTACAGGGTGGTCAAAAACGCGAATTGTCCTTTTTATCAAAAATTTCAAATCCATCACCCTGTATATTTGTACAATTCGGATTCAATTTTTTATGAGCCTTTTTTTGGTATAAGGTTTAATTCAGATAAAATCACTAGATTTTGAGTGATTAAGCTTTTAATAGAACAACACCAAAATTAAGGAAAAAATCACATCATCCACGGAAACAGAAGTTCTGCATATATCAGTTTCTGCTCGAATTTGTTGTGCACTTAAATGGGGATTTTCCTGCAACTTTAATAGAACCTCCAAGTGATTCGCCTCATTGGTGACACTTGGATTATCTATACATTTCTTACTATATTCCACTGCTCCACTTGATTCAAAACGTTCTCGTAGTGTGCAAAATGTTTCCGGCCTTGGATGTCGCATATTAGGGCGACTTATAAATGCGATGTGCTAGGAAACTAT